AACTCTCTTTGCCATAAAAATGTTCTGTAGATGCTGTCCGGTACTGGGTAGCTACTGGGCAAGTCAAATGTGGTGAATGCAATTAGGAGAGTCAAGTTTCCTTTAACATCACTTTATAATTTTAATGACACATAGTGAGTGACCGCTGGATACAGATAGAGACTAGTGGTATCTGTTGTTGAGCTTCTCAACATTCATTTCATATTTCTCCAATGGTAGTACCTTAACGGAGTTATGATTTGAATGTGCAATGTCTCCCTCAGACTCATCTTTCAACAATGCCATTCCCCGCAAAGAGCAATATCTGGGGAAACTTGGAACCTTCATGAGGTAGACCCCACCTGACAGAAGCAGGTTGCTAAAGGAGTGCCTTTGGCTACACAATTCAACTCTTGGCTTCTCTGTTTCCTGGCCCAACAGAGGAGCAACCTCATCCTCACACTTCTGCCCATGATGGTGCTGCTCAGCATATCTTCCCACTGGGATGGACTGAAAACCTCTTCAGCTGTGAGTCCGAGTATTTTGGTCACAGTCATGTAAAATGAACTAACTTGGAGGATCATCTCTCATTGGCTGTGTGCAGTCTTTGGAAACCATAGGTGCCTGGCCCCAGTGAGGCCAGAGACCCATACCCCCTGCCAGGACTTTGAATTCTGAGTTAAGTTTGCAGGGACTGGGAGCAAACAAAACTGAGTGGAGAGTCTCTTCCCCACACCAGGTTCTCTGTTTGCAAATGCCCAGTGATTCAGCCACCACTTCTCTGAAGACCAACTCACATTGTGTCAATTAAACTAGCCCCTATGGATTGGAAATAGCCTAACCAAAAAGTGTGATGCAACAGTTCTAAAAAATGCTTGCATGGTACCAAGCAGAGTGAGAAAAATTGCAAGAGCTAATTTTGCAGACATTCCATGGCATGTGTGTGTGTTTTATGTGTGAATAATTTCTAGATTTATGCAACTCTATTCAAATAAAACATTAGATATTTCTTTTGTCTTGCAGTCTGGAAATACCTCTTTAAAGTAAAACTACATAGACATATTGGCAGGAATGATTGTGCTTAAAATTTCCCCAGATCCCATGTTCTCTTCAACACTTCTCCATCTTTCTTTAAGGTTCAGTGGTTTCTGTTGTTTTCAAATCTCATTACATCTTTGCTAGAAATCCCTCCAGTGGCTTCCTGTCTCATGCAGAGTGAAAACATCTTCTTCAGGAAATTCTTACAGAATTAATAAAAAGTTTTAAAGTGGGGAGGGCTAACTGAACCCCTCAGGGTTTACAGACAGTACTTTTAGATAGAAAATGTCACACTGGACATTCCACTGGGATCCCACCAGCACAAACTGTGGGTTATAAGGGTGAAATGGACTTTATCAACCAAGCTATGGTTTGGGAAATCCCTCCTGCTTCAGAATACATAGTTGCAGCTAAAATATGTGCTCTTCCTTGACACAATAAGCCATAAAATAAAGGAAGTTAGCACAGCAATCATGCTGCCAATATCTCAAAGTATAATTTTATTTTATTAGGATAAATAAAATTAAATCTAGAAAAAGGTAGCTAGTCATTTAATGATCAATTAACGAGCAGTCCTATGCATGTAAATGAGAAACATTTATACAAAAATATTTAATGGTCTAAGAACATGAATAAAATTACTTGTTTTTCTTGCCTTGAAAGGGGGGATCTTCTGGGACATGCAGGGATGACCCCACCCTGGTATGCTCCTGGACTCTCACTTTTCTTCACTCCATTGCAGAGCTGGTCTGACATGCCAACCGTGGTCCTCCTACCTGCTCTTCCTTTACCAGGGATTCTCCTCCATAGCTATCTTTAAGGCCATCCCCTGAACCCTTCGAGTCACCTGAGTGTGCCTGTGTCCTCTTGCCGAACTCCTCCCCTTAGTTCCCCTTTCTGTTATGTTTTTTTCCTGGAACTGAATGATCACCAAGAATACCATAAACTTATTTTTCTTATCATTTTCTCCCTCCCAGTTGAATACAAACCATGCCAGTATAGAACTCTTGTGTTTATTCTGTATTCCTTACAACTTAGACCAGTACCCAGTGCCTAAGAGGCACTCAACAAAAATATTCCAAATGAACCAATCTTCCCCAACCTGCAGAGATTTGTTTTCAATTCCCATGTCTTTTCGTCCTCAGATATTTCCTTATATTCCTTCTCCTTGGCAAATCTGCCAACCTAAGAAGGATGCCCTGCTTGTAAACTGCGTTAGTCTCGATGATTATGAAATGCTTTTATATTCAACAAATTCAATTAATTTTGTAGAGTCTATTTCAAGTTCCTGGCTCTATTTTAAATGCCAGGAGGTGGCAGCCTCTCTTGATGTCTTTGGCTGTATCCCTTGACCCAGATAACAGTACTTGCAGGTGTAAGTACCAAATCCCTTAACTTCAGGTGTAAGTACCAAATCCCTTAACTTCAGGCAGTCTTCCACCTCTGTGGAGCTTCTGGACCTTTCTCATCAGTCAGTATCCTTTATACTTTGTCTTGCACTAGGAGACCTTGCCTGTGACCAGTTATAATCATAAACATGAGATAACACCATTTGCTTAAGGGAGAGAGAGCAGGAAGGAAAATGTCCCATCTTTCATGTCACCTCATAAGACATACACTTTCATCAACGGTTCTGAGCCCTAAGTGTCCGTAGGAGTAACTTTTCACTATATGTCCCAATCAGCCATGTTCTCTTGTCTACCTCATATGGCCATTTCCTTACCTGAAGTTCTTAGGATCATCTCCCAGCTGGGCTCTCTGCACCCAACTCTGGTTCTTAGATGGTCAGCAGCAGAGAAGGAAGAGGACAGGACTGTCCCCCACAATCGCTATGTCCAGTGGAACTGGAAGATAAAAGGTGCTGAGAAATTCTTGGGGCCCTCTGGCTAAGCAGAGATCCCATAGCCCTGCTCTGGAAAACAACTTGTGACCCGAGAGGCAGCTGCATGTTGGCACTGCAGAGGTTTTCTGGTCAACCCTGCAACTTTGCCCCAGGCTTAATGCAGCAACGCACTCAACTGCACAGGGATGCAGGGCCAGGACGAGAATCTTAAATGCACCTTTGAGTTCCAGGTCACCTTTGTCTTAGTTCATTTTCTGTTGCCTTAACAGAATACCCAGGATTGGGCCACTTACAAGGAAAAGAGCTTTGTTGATCCCATGGTTCTGGAGACAGGCAAGTCCCAGGCTAGGTAGCTGTGTCTGTCTTCTTGGCTGCAACATACAATGTGAAAGCGGAAGCAGCAGACACACTTACACAATGAGCTCATGAGCAAGAGTGGACGATGAGGTGCTAGGCTGTCAGAAAAGGAACTGGCCCTAGAAACACCTCACTGATTCTTGTGGGACCCACCTAGATACCTCAGAAAAGTGAAGCTCCACCAAATCTCAGTAACATTCCATTAGGAATCTGATTTCATGATGAACTTTAACGAAGCTAATTGCATCCCATTCAAACTGTACCTCTGTCCTCAGAGTACGGTGGTACTCGAGAGAGTGTAGGTCACCTTCCTGGGTCACCTTCCGTTCTCATCTGTCCTTGAAGGATGCCCTTTCCTCCTTTGCCTTGCTCTTTTTCCTTCTTCCCTCAGAAAAACGAACCCCGGGAGGATAAAGTGACAGAGTCGAGCTTTTCCATGGCTGCAGAGGACCCTGACAGAGGGGTGGGTGGTTCCACCATGATTCACACCTCAGGTTGAATACACACTGGCTTCAGAGAACAACTAGATCATTCAGAACACATCCGAGTGGAGTTTGCCAGCAATGACATAATCACTGGACGACATCAAGCCCAGCCCCGTATGCACAGCTGCTGCTAACTACAAAATGAGGTTGATACTGATTGATTATCTTATCACAGGTCATAAATCCCCATTTCAATTAACATGCAAAAGAGAAGCAGTTATCTTGTTTGGAACTGCAATAGAAAGTTGATTTTTTACTTAGGATTTATTCTTTTATTTTTGTTTCCCTAGCATTCTAGACTGATGAGAACACAGGCTTCAATTTATTTGGCACTCTCCTCTCCTCTCCTCTCCTCTCCTCTCCTCTCCTCTCCTCTCCTCTCCTCTCCTCTCCTCTCCTCTCCCCTCTTCTTCCCCTCTTCTTCCCCTCTTCTGCTCTCTCTCTCTCTCTCTCTCTCTCTCTCTCTCTCTCTCTCTCTCATACACACACACACACACACACACACACACACACACACACATTATGTCTTTATCCAGTGATGTGGGGTTACGTGATCAATACATCAGAAGCTCAGAATCTAATCGAAAGCAGCCATTGCAAACAATGGTACAGGAACCCCAGAACCCTGATGAGATGTCTTGTAGCCACTGAGACCCTACAAGGGACAGCATTAAGCTACAGAATTCTGGACCCCACTCATACTTCACTAAAGTCTATTTATATATCAGTGCCCCAAAAGGATTTCTTTTGAGAACAAGACCCCATTGGTAACATTACGCTGTAAACTATGTTTATATTCTTATGCTTAGTGTCATCTTTATATTCTTCTTCAGTGTGGCTCACTCAGAAAGCACTACTTTGGAATTGATTATGCTAAGGATCTGTGCTTTACATGTTTTTGTGTCCTAGATCCCTCAGTTATATGACCCTAATTGCTTTTAAACTTCATAAGAATAATGTTGTGGTTTGCTAAGAGCACAGGACATTTGTTGATAACTTCCATGTGTTGATTTGTTAACTTTAATTGGTAACTTGGTAAACCATATCCTCGAGTGTGTGTGTGATATGTAGTATATGCATGTGTGAGCATATCCGTGTACGTATAGGGGGTGCACTTTGTCACTGTGTGTACAGGCCAGAGGTCAACATTAGTTATCTTTTTGTCACTCTCCTGTCTATTTTTTGTGGCAGGGTCTCTCACTGAACTTAAAACCCACTGATTAGCAGGCTGACTGGCCATCAGTCCCCTGGGATGTGCCTGTCTCTACCCTACCACAACTCTAATATTGGCATTACAGGTGCATGCCACTGTGCCCAACTCTTTATGAGTGCTGGGAAACCAAACTCATGCTTGGACGGAAACACTGTACCCACCGAGCTATTGTATACGAAGATGGAGTGGAATCCACTTTCCTAACTGCGAGTGGCCCTATGATGACATAGGGACACCCAAATGAATACAGGCCCTATGATGATATGGTGATACCCAACTGGATGCAGGGATGTTTCTGTTGTTCACCATTAGGACCCCAGACTTCATCTCCACACAGAAAATGTAAAACTTTGTACACCCATGACTATTTTGCCCTGTTATTAAATGGCATTTAGATAATAAATGATTCATCTTTGCTTCTGAAATGTGAATGGAAGCTTCCTTCCATGGGATCAATGTCCCAGAAACTGTGGATAATGTTTGCTGGATTCCTGCCTGGGTCCCTTTTCTGCTTCAGAGTCCCCAAATAACACACAGATGCTGGCCAATGTCTAGGGCTTCTTATCAGCTAGCTCTGTCTTAAGTATTAACCCATAACTACTAATATATATTTCTACAAGGTCTTATCTTACCGAGACTCTTCCATCCTTTCCTCCCAGGATCACATGGTGACTCCCTACTACATTTCCCAGAATCCTCCTTCTCTCCTAGTCCTGCCTATCTTGCTTCCCAGTTGACTGACAGTATTTCATTCATCAACCAATAAGGGAGACTTATTTACAGAATGACATCTTCCATCAGGATGAGAGTTGGGAAACTGCTGAACTCTTTCAGTATGATGGCCATTTCTTTGGAATTTAGAATTAAAATGAACTCGATTTTCCCATAGCATATAGATTAAGTTTCTAAAGATCACTGTATTAATGCCAAATATCTCCAAACACAACCTCAAATCTAGAGATCAGCACAATGAATGACAAATACATTCAGCTCGAGTTAACTTAGCCATGGAGAGGCCCCCAATGCTTAGCTTAATGTATGAAAAGAGAATAACAAAGAAGAGTTGGGTTTGAATGTGTGTGTGTTCACATGACATACACTTTATACTATACCATTGTAATAAACAAAGATACAGTCTCTGTGGCTATATAACAAAGGTTCATTTCTCCCCTCTCACTTCTGGTAGGCGACTTCCTATTACAGTTGCCAGTCTTTCTGTCTGCCCTCTAAGAAATATCTTACTCACTACTATTTGTTAAGTCTTTGTGTCATGTGGTACCATATAACCCCAAATTCTTGTAAGTCTTCTGTATTTTTTTAATTCTCCAAGTAGAAGTCAGATCAGCATGAATGCCTTCCGCTGCCACACTGTAGTTTTATATTATTTATGATTGCTATTATTGTCAGTATTTATAGCAATCATTAGGCAACAGGCATTTTGGCAGTCTCAGTCAGCAATCTGTCACTCTCCTCCTTGGTTGAAGGAACTGGAAAGGACACTAGAGGCTACACAGTACCCAAAGCTCCAGATAGTCTACGGTAAGAATGATGCAATACTCCTGTGAGAGACGAGGTCTGGAGGGGGAGGGGGACAAAAAGGGATGAAGATCTGACATTATCTCCAAACCCTGGAAGCCAGAGCATCAGAGATGAAACAGGAATGCATCATAGCAGACCCGATTCCAAGGACTTCAAAGGCTGCCTGCATCCTGAGCAGAAACAAAGGGTTCTTTTCCTCACAGCAAACAACAAAATTAGATATGCCAAAGAGGGTTTGTTTTCCTTTCGAGGCCAGAAGCAACTCCAACTCCTTGATCCCAATTTAGCATTCACAGTACCAAGCCCACTCCTGCCCTGTGACTCAGAAACTAATAAAAGGAAGACCTCATCTGGTCAAGAACATAACTGCCCAAGCCGAAAGGCATGGTGCCAGACACGGCAATTAACTTCACAGGTTAATTTGAATGATTGTCAATTTATGGGCAGCATCTTTTAGGAATACAAATTCTCAGATATTACCTGAACAGCCATCCATCTTCCCCTCTGCCCCAATTCTAATGGATGGGAAAATGGAATAAGCCCATTGCCACCCTGGGGTTGCAATGAGTGTGATATTAATGTTATTACGTTTGAAGACAGATGCTGTTGCCTTTTCCAAAGTGCCTATTATACATTATCTCATTTGAGTTTTATGAGAACTCCCTGCATTATATTTTATTTTCAGGAGCATGAGATAATGCTACTTTAGTAGGCTACAAATCTCTGGTCCACCCTGACTTCTGTTTGGTGGCACTAACCAAGTCACTCCCTACCAAGTGCCTTCCCTACCATGATGGCAGTACATTTCTTTGAATTGCTAGCCAGGAAAAAATAAGACCTTCCTTTCAGTTGCTTCTTCTCAGATATTCTGTTACAGAGATGAGAAAAGTAGCTAAGCATATTCTCTACAACTCTCCAAGAGTAGATCTGATCATTGTGGATGTTAAGCAAACTGGTGAGGGCATCATTGGAAGATGGAAGCATCTAATGGAAGAATAATCCACACCCAGACCAGATGAAGCAAGAGATGTGATTCTACCAGGTCATTCCAAGCAGTATACAATTTGCAACTTACAGTTTGTTTCTAGAGTTGTCCATTTAATATTTCAAACCACTGATGACCAGAGGCAACCAAAATTATGCAAAGGTAGCCCTTGGGAGGGAGTGATTGTTGTATGTCACGGATCTCTGTAGGGACCTTCCTACTGCTATGTAGTACTTTTACCCCAGTGAGGCTGTGACTGATATAATCCTAGGACACAGATTTAAAGTTGTGACTTGAGTATTGCTTTGGTCTTTCTCTTAAACATGAGCACAGCACTAAGCTACTTATCAACAGGAAACAAGATATTAGCAATCTATGGCATGCAGGAAGAGCACAATTAACCAAATTATCAGCTTCGATTGGTCATAATGAAATGTTAATTGAAGCAAGAACTTGGAAGTTCCACTATGGCTGAGCTTGACAATTCTTGACAGCTGCCTTAACAGCAGCCACTATCTTTTATGAGAGGTTGTTACGCCAGAATAGACTGTACCACTTAAAGAAAGACAATGATTGAAACTCTGTTACTTTAATTTACTCAATTCATGGAAGCCTTTATGAACTTTGCATTTCTTGTAGCACTGGGACTGATATTTAAAAAATAAAACACAAAATTAATTGCAAGAGACTGAATTATAACAATTGGTTTTAATATGATGAGATTATTTCCATTTTAGAATTTAATTAAGAATTACTGAGATCCTGAAGTTAGAATAGAAAAAAAAAAACTGGTTGAACATGGAAACCAGGGTCTTGATTCCTTCAAGTTACTTTGAGTCTTTAAGAATAAGCATGGCTTCCATTAGTCTCCAAAATTCTCTATTGTTTGAGGCAAGCCTGTCACCATTAGCATCTTGGCCTGGCACCACAGTCTCACTTTGCCCCTTCCTCATCCCAACCTGTTTGCCCAGGGATGTCCCTGATAGCACTAACCCCCAAATTCTTCACCCCAGAGTGGAGCTGGGGAACTCAACCTTGCAGAAATTCTTTTTTTTGTTTTTTTTTTATCATTTTTATTTTAATTTTAAATAGCTTGTTTTACATGTCAATCCCAGTTCCCTCTCCCTCCCCTTCTCCCGCACTCCCCTTCCCCCACTCCCTCCCACCCTATTGCCAAATCCTTCCCCATAGGGGATATCTAGAGTCTGTCATTTTACTCTTGGTAGGGTCCAGGTACTCCCCTAAGAGTCCAGGCTGAGAGAGCATCTCTCTTTGTGCTATAGGCACATGAAGACAGTTTGTATACCAGGGATAGACACTGATCCACAGCTGAGGGCCCCATAGGTTGCCCAGGCCTTCTCACTGACACTCACATTTGGGGGGGTCCAGATCAGTCCCATGCTGGCCTCCCCACTGTCGGTCTGGGGTCCAAGAGCTCTCCCCTGTTCAGTTCATCTGTCTCTGCTGGTTTTGCCAGCCCAGTCTTTGCCAATTTGCTCATCACTCCTCTCTCTCTGTCACTGGGTTCCTTGGATTCAGTTCAGTGATTAATTGTGTGTTTGCCTCCTTGCAGAAATTCTTAAATAGTCGTTTTCACTGATGTGTTAAAGGTGAATCATGGTCCCCAAACCAGAATAATCCCTGATTCTGCCAGTGTTCCAAGGCAAGAGAAGTCTGGATAAAAATAAGACCCAGAGCAATAAATAATAGCAGTACTCAAGAGGTAACTTTCTAGAAACACAAATATCTAGAAAAGAAAAAAATAAAACCTTGAGATCAATTGTTTTCCAGAAACCTTAGTGCTCAAATGAGAATGAACTGTGTGGCTTCAAAATTTACTTCCTTGCCTAAATCTAAAAAGACCCACTCTTGTGCTCAGGAGTTTCGAGTTTTAAAAAGGTCTGTCAAGTGCTGTCAAGAAACAAGATGCGTCAGGATAGTCAACTTTATTCAGCGCTTGTGGGGGCTGGTTTTCTTCCTGCCACAAATAGCTTGCTCACTGGACACTTAGTGGTGAGCCTGTTCCTGGGAGCTCTGCACTGTGAAGTTCGATGTCTTTTTAAGTAAATATGTTAAATTTATATTTCTATCTGAATGTACATAAAGACCTCAATTCTTATTGGGCAATCTTTATACAGTTCGTAATACCCAATTTTAATGTAGCGTATGTAATGTTCATTTGTTTACGTTTGTGAAAGAAACAATGGATTATTTAGAAATCAGTGGAAGCAACAGATATTTTTAAATTATAAAATGACTTCCAAAAAAGGTCTTTTAAATTATCCAAATTGGACTGGATGTGGCAGTACAGGCTTTAAACCCAGCATTCAGGAGGCAGAGGCAGATGGATTTTCCATTAGAGACCAGTCTGTCTCCATAGGAAGTTTTGGGCTGGTCAAGGCTACACAGTGAGATCCTGTCTCCCCCCCAAAAAATCACTACTATCATTATTATTTGTCATCACCACCATCATTATCATCATCATTATCATCATCACCACCATCATCATCACTATCTTCATGAAATCACAAGATCATCTAATGGCTGCTCCCGACCCCCAAGCCAGTAATCTATGCCCCACCTTCATGCTATAAGGAATGTGTTTTGTTTTTTATAACTAACACATATCAATCACACAAATTAGGGAGTTTCAACATAATTTATACACTTGAGCAATGTTTTATATCTTTGGTCAACCACAAATAAACTGGACATTTTTAGGGAATTTTCATGGATTTAAATATCAAGGCAGGGCTAACAGCAC